AATTGGAAAAAAATAAACGTTCATACTAACACTCATTTAAAAAAAATCTCCGTTTATACTAATACTCCTTTTTAAAAAAATCCCTTTTTATACTAACACTCCTTTAAAAAATTTCTGTTTATACTAATATTCCTTTTTAAAAATCTCCGTTTACACTAACTACTTTTTTTAATCGTTTATACTAACACTCCTTTTAAAATTATGATCTGTTACAACTGTTTGTTTTGAAACCGTTTTCTCGTGAATGTTATCAACAAGAATAACGTGTTCTGTTTTTGTTTTATCTATTGATTTCATTATTTTTATTTTCTTTGTGTGTGTGAAGTGTGATAATCCTATCAATAGGTTTTTATGGTTCAAAGTTCAAAGTAAACTATGACAAACTGATTTTTTTTTCCATGTTTGCCTTGTCTCTGCTGAAGTTCAAAGTAACTATGACATAAACTATGATTTTTTTTTCCATTTTCGGTTAAATAATGGAATATTTTTTTTGTTTTGTTTTTTTCCTTATATTTTTTGCACGTTAGCTGGACTTTGGGGATTTGTTCATGTATTATTGTTATCATTATCATTATTGTCACATTGTTATTATTATTACTATAATTATTATTATTATGATTATTAGTGTTGCTGTTGTTTCCATTATTATTATTATTATTATTATTATTATTATCATTATTATTATTATCATTATTATTATTGTCATCATCATCATTGTTCTTATAGTTATTATTCTATTATTATTATTGTTATTATTATTATTGTCGTAATGATAATAGTAATGGAAACAAGAACAACAATATTAATAATAAAAATAATTATGATAATAATAATAATAATAATAAAAATAATGATAATTGTTATTATTGCTATTCTTCTTTTCTTGTTCTTGTTATCATTATTATAATCATCATCATTATTAGCATCATCACCATTATCCTAGTATCATTACTATTACTATTTTATAATTTACTCAAGAATTACAACATGCATTACAAAAAATAAATGATTAAAATGACTAGAATAAATCAGAATAAAACGAACAGTTTCGTACACGATTCTACATTTCATTTATTTTACATTTCTCGATTTAGAAAAAAACTCAAATACCAAAGTGACAAAAAAAAACTCAAATGCCAAAGTGACAAAAAAAACAAAAAAAAAAACAAAAAAAAAATGCCAAAGTTACCCCGAAAACCGTTTTCTTTGCAGAGAACTTTCTCCATCCTCCTGGCGGCATGTCTCACCTGTCTCTTCGCCTACTACTACACCTCCGTCAAATCCACGCCCATCGGCTACACCATAGAGTCTTTGGACCTGAAGGAACTTGAGAATCTTTCAGCCGCCCTTCAACATGAGTATGAATTTGGTTCTGTGTTTTTTTGCTAATTGGAACAACGAATGGGAAGGAGAAAGCGCGGATGTGGCTTAGTCGCGGGTTTTCCTGTGTTAATTTTCGTTGTTTTTTCGTTGGATCCTTCAGTATTGTTTTGTTTTGCGGTGTTTGTTTATCCTTCTTTGTTGGTCTTATATCTTATACTTTATTTGTTATTTTATTTATGTTATTCTTAAATTTATTGGAAGTATCTCTGTATTTGTTCATTCTCTTATTCTTCCTCCTTATGAACAAAAGATGAATTTGTTCCTTTACGGAATATATTCTATTTGTCCCTTTAATGCTGTCCTTTACTGACTTTATGCTTGGAATAGGCGAGTATAAATCAGCATACTTAATTAGTCATTAATTAGTTCCAGATCTTTCTCTCTCATTTAATTATCTTTATCTCATCTGATTATTTTCTCTCTCATTTGACTGTCTTTCTCACGTGATTATCTTTCTCTCTCATTTAATCATCTTTCTCTCTCATTTAATTATCTTTTATCTCTCATTTAAATCTCTTATTCTTTATCTCTCATTTAATTATCTTTCTCTCTCAATTAATGATCTTTCTCTCTCATTTAATGATCTTTCTCTCTCATTTAATTATCTTTCTCTCTCATTTAATGATCTTTCTATCCTTTTCTCTCATTTAATGATCTTTTTCTCATTTAATATCTTTCTTCTCAATTATCTTTCTCTAATATCTTTTCTCTCATTTAATGATCTTTCTCTCTCATTTAATCATCTTTTTCTCTCAATTATTCATCTTTCTCTCTCATTTAATTCCATTTCACCCATTTTCTCTGTCTCACATTTCCTCTCTTTTTCCACTTACATTTCCACTTACATTACCACTTTCAGCATAGTTCAGTGTTCTTCATTTTTAAAATATTATTCTCTCTGTATTTCCTATGATTATAAACTCATCATGAATTATTAAGTATAATTAATTGATCAAGATCATTATCTACAGATTACTTATATAACTACTACTACTACTACTGGTGCTGCTGCTGCTATTCTTATTATTATCATTATCGTTATTGATATAATGATTCTTATTATGATTATTGTCATTATCTTTATTATTATTACCTTCATTATCATTATCATTATTATTATTATCATCATTACCATTATCATTATTATTATTATCATCATTATCATTATCATTATTATTATTATCATCATTACCATTATCATTATTAGTATTATCATCATTATCATTATTTTTATTATCCTCATTATTACTATTATTATTATTATTATTATCTTTATTATTATTATTATTATTATCCTCATTATTACTGTCATTATTATCATCATTATCATTATCTTTATCATTATAATAATTATTATTATCATTATCATTATTATTATCATTGTACAATCCTATCTTTATAACCATTATTACCATTCCACTCATTTCAATATTGTCATCATTATCGTGCAATCATAAGCAACTTTTGCATCAATATCATCATCATTATCATCATTATCGTGCAATCATAATCTACTTTTGCATCAATATCATCATCATTATAGATCATTATCGTGCAATCATAATCTACTTTTGCATCAATATCATCATCATCATCATTATCGTGCAATCATGATCAACTTTTGCATCAATACCATCTTCATTATAGATCATTATCGTGCAATCATAAGCTACTTTTGCAAATCGTGACCGGGCGCGTGTCCCCAGGGCGGCCAAGGCGGAGACGCAGGAAGCAGGCCCCGTCGCGCCCCAGACAGACCCTCCCGCAGCCACCTCCACCTCCACCTCCTCCTCCACCGCGGCTCCTCGGACCTCCGTCAGCCGGGGGACCACGAAGGCCGCGCCGCCGAAGAGGGAGGACGGCCTCATGCCCTTCGAGGACGAGGCGGATTCCAAGTTCGACATCGCCAAGAAGATCTTCCTGCCGGAGAATGTCTCGCGGGATGTGGACGGCCCGCCGCTGAAGAAGATTCTGTTCTGGAATGATGTAAGTGGTGTGTTGATCGAGAAGGGAGGGAGGAGGAGGGAGAGAGAGGGAGGGAGGAGAGGAGGAGGAGGGAGGGAGGAGGAGGGAGAGAGGGAGGGGAGGGAGAGAGGAGGGAGGGAGAGGGAGAGAGGGAGGAGACGAGGGAGGAGGAAGAGAGGGAGGGAAGAGGGAAGGAGGGAGGGAGGGATGGGAGAGAGAGAGGGAAGAGAGGGAGGGAGGTGAGTGAGAGGAGGGAGGGAGAGGGAGAGAGAGAGAGAGGGAGAGGGAGGGAGGGAGGGAGGGAGAGGAGAGAGAGAGAGAGGAGAGAGAGGAGGGAGGGAGGGAGGGAGGGAGAGGGGAGAGAGGGAGGGAGGAGAGGAGGAGAGAGAGAGGGAGGAGCGGAGGGAGGGAGGAAGGAGAGGAGGGAGAGAGAGAGGAGGAGGAGGAGGGAGAGAGGGAGTGCAGAGAGGAGGAGGGAGAGAGAGAGTCGAGGGAGAGAGAGAGAGGGAGGCAGGGAGAAGAGAGGGAGAGAGGAGGAGAACGAAGAGGATGAAGGAGGGAGGAAGGAAGAGAGAGGAGGAGCGGAAGGGAGACGCACGAGAGGCGATGGAAGGAGGAAGAGAGCAGAGGGAGGGTAGAGGGAGCGAGCGACGAGAGATCGAGAGAGAAGGAAGGGAGGAGGAGAGAGAGAGGAGGGAGGAGCTAGAAGACTGAGAGGCGAGGGAGGGAAATGGGGAGGGAGGGAGGGAGGGAGGGAGGAGAGAGCATGAGGGGAGAGAGAGGCAGGAGGAGAGGAGGAGGCGAAGACGCAGAGGAGGGAGGGAGATTTAGAGAGCGGAGAAGGAGAGACGACGAGGAGGAGGAGGAGAGCAGAGACGGAGGGAGGAGGGCAGCAGGGAGGCAGAGAGAAGGGAGGACGGAGGGAGAGCAGACTGAGGGAGGGGACGTTGGAAGGGAGAGAGAGAGGAGGCCGAGGGAGAGGAGAGGGAGGGAGGGAGGTGATGAGAGAGAGGGAGGAGCGGCAGGGCGAGAGAGAGAGGAGGAGGGAGAAGAAGGGACGAGGAGGAGACGAGAGAAGGCACTGGAGAGGCAGGGAGAGAGCCTAGAGGGAGGACGGGAGGGGAAAGAGGGACGGAGGGAAGGGAGAGAACGAGAGAGGAGGGACCGGACGAGAGAGGAGAGCAGGACGGGAGGCTGACGGGAAGCGAGAGGAGGGTAGGGAGGAAGGGAGGAGAGAGGAGAGGGAGGGCAGAGGAGGACGAGAGGGAGGGAGGAGGAGAGAGAGAGGAGGGAGGGAGGTAGAGAGAGGGAGGAGGAGGGAAGCAGAGAAGGAGGAGGGCCGAGCGCAGAGAACGTAGAGGGTGCGAGGGCGAGGGAGAGAGACACGAGAGAGACGGAGGAGAAGAGAGGGAAGGAGGCAGGGAGGGGGAGAGAGAGAGGCGGTGAGGGCAGCAGACGACGAGACGGAGGTGCAGGGAGCGACGAAGAGAGAGAGGAGCCGCAGAGGGAGAGAGGGGAGGAGACGAGGAGCAGGGAGGCGAGGAGGCGATGAGAGGGGGCGAGCGGAGGGAGAAGATGAGGAGAGAGGGAGGGAGCCGGAGCGAGAGAAGAGAGGAGGGAGGGACAGGAGGAGAAGAAGCTAGTTGGACCGGGAGGAGGGAGCGGAGAGGAGAAGAGGAGGGAGGGAGGACTAGGCAGAGAGGAGGGAGGGAGGCGAGGACGAGAAGAGAGGAGCCGCAGGAGGAGCTAGAGAGAGCGGACGGAGGTGACGGGAGGTCGAGGCGAGAGACCGGATGGAGGAGGAGGGAGGAGGCAGGGCTGAGATGAGCAGAGCACAGATGAGGGCGGAGAGGGGAGCTGCGAGCGACGGAGGAGAGGAGAGGAAGGGAGGAGGACGGAGGCGAGGGAGGGAGGGAGCAGGAGAGAGGGGAGGGAGGACTGAGAGGACTGGGCAGGGAGAGGAGCTGGAGGAGGGAGCGAGAGGGAGGAGGGAGAGAGGGAGGAGGGAGAGAGGGATAGGAGACGGATGGGAGGCAGGTTGAGGGAGGGACGGGAGGGAGAGAGGGGAGGGAGGGAAGAGAGGGAGAGAGAGGGAGAGAGGAGGGAGGCGAACGGAGAGAGGGAAGGAGGACGAGAGGGAGAGAGGAGAGAGAGAGGTAGAGGTGAGGCAGGAGAGGGAGGGAGGAGAGAGGAGGGAGGAGAGACCGGAGGAGGAGAGGGGAGGGACGCGGAGCAGAAGGAAGGGAAGGGAGAGAGGGAGAGAGGGAGAGGAGGGAGGGAGGATTCGAGTTAGGGAAGGCAGGGAGAGAGGAGAAGAGGCCAGGCGAACCGGAGGAGACGGAGGCAGGGGTGAGAGGAGGGACGGAGACGAGGGAGAGGGAGAGGACCGGAGGAGGTGACGGAGGAAGGAGGGACGCGAGGGAGTTAGACGGAGGGGAGAGAGGGAGGCGAGGGAGAGAGGAGGAGGAGGGAGAGGAGGGAGGGAGAGGGCAGAGAGGAGGGACGGAGGGAAGAGAGAGGGAGGAGGAGCGGAGGGAAGGGGCGGAGAGGCGAGCGAGGAGGAGGGAGGAGAGAAGGAGGAGGTGTGGGAGAGAGGGAGGGAGGGAAGAGGTTAGGAGGGGGAAGGAGGAGAGAGGGAGCAGGGAGGGAGGAGAGAGGGAGGCGAGGGAGAAGGGAGGGAGGAGGAGAGAGGAGATGAGGAGAAGAGAGGGAGGGAGGGAGAGAGGGGAGGGAGGGGAAGAGAGGGAGGGGAGGTGGGGAGAGAGAGGGAGGGAGGGAGAGAGAGGGAGGGAGGAGAGAGGAGGAGGAGGAGGAGAGGGAGGGAGAGGGAGGGAGGGAGGAGGGAGGGAGGGAGGGAGGGAGGGAGAGGAGGGGAGGAGGAGGGAGAGGAGAGGACAGGAGGAGGGAGAGAGAGGAGGAGAGGGGAGAGGGAGAAGAGAGAGAGACAGAGAGAGGGAGAGAGAGAGAGAGAGAGAGAGACAGAAGACAGAGACAGAGACAGAAGACAGACAAATAAACAAACACACACACACAACTCAATATCTTATCGTCTTTTGTCACTTCCTTCGTCACTTCCTGTTTGTTATCCAGTATTTTTTTTTAATGTTGTTCTTTTATCCTTCTGTCTTCCTGTCGTTATCAATTTGTTTTCGAGTTCGGTTATTCTCCATATCCTTTGGTCGTTTTCAATATCTTCTTTTTCTACTTCTATCCGCTGCTCTCTCTCTCTCTCTTTCTCTCTCATTCTCTCATGCTCTCATTCTCTCTCTCTCTCTCTCTCTCTCTCTCTCTCTGTGTCTGTGTGTGTGCTGTGTGTGTGTGTTGTGTGTTGTTTCTTCCTCTGTATCTCTCTCTATCTCTCTTTTTCTCTTTCTCTCTATTTTCCCTTTCTCTCTCTCTTCCTCTCCCTTCCTTACTCACCCCCTTCTCTGTCTATCTGTCTGCCTGTCTCTTTCTCTCTCTCTTCTCCTTATCAATGAAAAATTCTACTTATATTCTTTCTTCTTCTCCTTGCTTCTTTCCCAGAAATATTCTTTCAATTTCCTTTATTCTTTCTTCATCCTCTCGTTCCTTAGAAAGAAAATATTTTTTCTGTTCATTCTCCTGTTCTTTTTCTTTTCTAAAAATCTCTGTACTTCTTCGTTTCTTTCTCGTTCATTCTTCATGCTCGTTATTAATAATCTTCTATCTACATCTTCTCCAATTTACGTTTTGTTCAGTATTCCATCCCCTTCTGCCTTTTTTTTTCTTTCAGCCATTTTCTTGTTATTTAAAATTCGTTTTAACTGCCAACTAAACTCCGCTCTGATTCTACTAACTAAAGCATCTCGTTAATATTTCTCTCTTTCTGTTTAGGTAATTGAATTTCTCTTCATCTATTTCCTCTAATACAGAGAGAAAACTTGAAAGGAGAACGAATGAACCTTTAGAAAATCAGTTTTATTCTCCGTTTGAAATATCGCGCGCTTTTATAGGGAGCGAATATGTAAATAAAAAAGACAGATGAGCTCGTTGCTTTTTTTATTTTTTAAAAAATGTTTTGGCGTTATTAATAAAAAAAAGATAATACCCATCAATTCTCCTTCTTATATCATTTACTATTGTGACAAAGCAACACGGTTAAGATCATTAAAAGTGTCTAAAAAGGGAATTTACATAATGTGTATACCATAGGCATCTTTTCCAGTGTTACGGGAAACGCGACACCTCTTTGCGCACAGGAATCAAGCAGACGGTTAACTATAATCGAGTTGCCAGATGCATTCCTCCTACTTCGGATATTTCCTGCATATTCGTACTTACATTGGATATCTATAACACCGCACTACCCACCATAAGATATCAAAAGCCATCTTGGATATCATATTCCAAAATACTGTTTACCTGTTGGAAAAATAACCAGTACAGTGAAATAGCAAGCCGTCAACCGCGATCATTCCCATTACGTCACAGAAATGGGCGGAGCTTAGAGGCCTGTCTCGCCTCCGATCACGAGACAGCTTTTGACCCTAATTGCCACCGGAAAAGATGCCTCATGATTCCCAAGGCTTCTATGTGTATGCGCGGTAATGTCTATACAAATAAATTAAATATTTTTGAACTTATAGTAAAATTATCCCCCTGTGGAATTTTTTTATTCTCGATTTCGTTTTTTTTTCTCATTTACAACTTTACATTAGAAATATGCGATTATTTTACATCTCTCTGGTCTAAATATATTGCCAATTACGCAAATTTAATCTTATAAATTCCACTAAAGAAGATACAGATATAATTAAATATTCGATCAAGTAGAATATGATACAGCGATAAATTCCCTTTTCAAATCGCCCGGCGGAAGTAAAGTACGTTACAAAGAAGCTTTTCAAATAATTTCCTCAAATATTTACTCAAATGTGGCTGTCTCCCCCCCCCCCCTCCGTCTTTATACCGCACGAAGGGAGAAAATTAGGATAAATAGAACTAAACAGATTAACAACACTCGCACACAAGATAAATAGAGAAAAATACATAAAAAGCTCAATGGCCACACATGCTCAATAATCATTCATATCTCCTTTCACAACAGGCTTATTCGAACGAGGACTATGGCTTCAGCTTCGGCTAAATAAACCGAATGAACAGATTAACAAACATTCGCACAAAGAATGAATAAATAGATGAAAATAAATAAAAACTTAATGACCACACCTGCTCAATAATCATTCATATCTCCTTTCTCAACAGGCTTATTCGAACAAGGACTTTGGCTTCGGCTTCGGGCGCGAACCGTTCATCCGAGCCGGCTGCCGCGTCAACACGTGCCTGACGACGGGAAAGCGCGACCGGTTTCCGCTGAAGGAGCTGGACGCTGTCATTTGGCACTTCAGGGCAAATGACAAGTCCCTGCCTGCCGAGCGGTGAGGGGCTATGACGGAAAGGGGGTTTCTGAGTTTTTTTTTTTTTTTTTTTTTCGTATTTCCCGCCAATCTGTGAGGGGCTACGGGGGCAAAGGAGTTTCTGAGTAGCTTTTTTTTTTGTCATTCCTAATTTGTTTTTTGTCTCGTATTTTCCGTCGAGATATAAGGGGCTACGGCGGAAAAGGAATTTCGGGGTAGATTTTTTTCTCTGTCTTTTCTTAATTTGCTTCATTCGTCTTTCCCGCCAAGCTGTGAGGGGCTACGGCGGCAAAGGATTTCGAACTTTTTTTTTCTAATTGGTCTATAATTACCTTGACGCTTTTAACCTTTTTGTTTATCTTTATTATTTCGATTTTTATGCATGTATTCATTTATTTATCTTTTATTGCTCTTCACAATGAACTTCTTTGTTTCTTGCTTATTTCGTTTATTCTTTATTTATTCTAATATGCCTTTATATCTCTACATATTTTTATCTATTTATATTTTGATTACATTGCTCTACTCTATTAGCTTCTTGTCTCCTCTTACTATTTACTATATCTCTTTTATAGACATTTATTAAAGTTTGAAACCTGTAACGAAAGCTATATGAAAAGACGCAATTTTGTTCCGTATTATTCTCCTTTTTTCTTGTCCTCTTTTTCCTTATACGAATGCTCCCTTGTTTATAAACCGTTACGCGCGAAATTTGAAAACGCTTCTGCTGTTTAATTTTTTTGTTTTTCTTATTTTTTTTCGCTTTTATTACTTTATACATGAATAAGTGGATGATTAAATGAATTGATGGACAGGTGAATAGATAGACAGGTAAATAGATTGATAGATAATTATTATTATGAATGTTATTATTATTGTTATTATTATTATTATTATTATAATTGTTATTATTATTATCATTATTGTTATTATTGATAACATTACTGTTTTTATTATTACTATTATTATTATAAGTTTTATCATTATCAACAATCATATATATTATTATTATTATTATTATTATATACAGCATATTCATCATTATTACTATTATCAATATTATCATCCTCCTCCTCCTCCCACTTCCTTCTCCTCCTCTCTTCTTCCCCTCCTCCTCTCCACCTACCCCCTTCCTCTTCCCCCTCCCCTTCCTCCTCCTCCCCTCCCCATCCTCATCACCAATTTCCCTCTCCTCCCTCTTTTCCAGGTCCCCCACACTCGCTACGTCTTCTGGATTTGATGGAGTCCGCCTCTCACCTCTTCGGCGACATCAGCGATTCAATAAACTTTTCAACTGGACGATGACGTACCAGGCTGGACCGGATATGGCCAACCCGTGAGTGGGGGGGGGAGAATTCTCAATTCTTCGCTGTTTTTTGGGGGGGGGTTGTTTGGTTGTTTGTGCGTGGGGGGGTTGGTGTTGGTTGGGAGGTGTGTTTGTGCGTGGTTGGGTTGGGTGGTGGGAGGTTTTGGTTGTGGGTGGTGGGGAGGTTGTTTGTTTGTTTGTTTGTGGGTGGGTGTGGGGGGTTGGTTTGGGGTTTTTTGTTTGTGGTGGTTAGGTGATGGAGAGTTTGGGTTTTGTGTTTTGTTTGTTGTTTGTGCGTGCGGTTGATTGAGGGGAGGTTTGGTTTTGTGGTGTGTATGTTTCTTTGTGTTTATTTGTGTAGGTGTCTGAGCGAGTGTGTGGATATGTTTGTTTGTTTCTTGTTTGTGTGTATGTGTTTGAGTTATTGAGCGAATGTACGTGTTTCTGCGCGTACGTGTGAACGTGTGTTCATGTACGTGCCCCTATCTCTAATTGAATTCTTATTTCATTCTATTTCCACTTCCATTACACACGCCAACCACCCTTCCCCGCCTGCAATAACCGCCCACGTCCTCCCTCAGGTACAATCGGGTGTACCGGCGCCGCCAGCCTCTGCACATCTCCCGCAACTACACGGAAGGGAAGACGAAGCTAGCCGCGTGGTTCGTCACCAACTGCCACACCATCGGAGGCAGGGAAAGGTGCGTGGGCAGGTTTTTTTTTTTTTTTTTTTTTTTTTAACTTTTGTTGGGTTTCTTGTCCGTCAACCAGCGGGCACGTGGCCAAGGTTATTAAGCCAGTGGATCCTATTCATGCTTTCAGTCTGTAGAAGGTCATAAAGTTTTGTCTCTCTTAGAAAAGGGATTACTTTATTAATTTTTTTTTGTCATCTGAAAGAAGATTGGATGTTGTGAACTGTATATTTTTTAATTCTGCAATAATTCTTTGAAATTTGTCTTTGTTATATTGGCGGCAAGTTATTAAAATATGGGGTATTGTTAGACGGCATGTACAATTTAGACATTGTGGTGGATATTTGTTTTTTCTATATATGGAGTGAGGTGTGTTATTCTTGTGGAATTTAATCTCAAGCGTGCCAGCACCACCTCCTCTCTTCTGTGCGTAGGCTGTGCTGTGTGCAAAGAGTATATAGGAAAGAGAGGAAAGCGCGTATCATACCGTTGAAATAAATGTGAGGCCTCATAACTTCGTAGAGCGCCATCTATTGTTCGGATTCACTATTCGCCAACCGTTGAGGCCATACAGCCGTTGTTGTATCTATTGTCGATTAACTATTCGCCAACCGTTCTGAGCGCCATCTTTTGTTCAGATTCACTATTCGCAACCCGTTGGGGTCATAGAGCGCCATCTTTTGTTCAGATTCGCTCTCGCAACCGTTGGGGGTCATGGACTTTTGCCGTGCGTTGCTATCTCTCGTATATAGTCTTTGGCTATGGGTAAGATCAACGGGAAGGCCAAGTCAGTGTCAAGGCGTCCGATTCTATTTTTTTTGGAAAAAAAGCACATGGGGTTTATTTTGATGTCACAAAAGTTACGTGGTTTAGCAATGTCATTTTCTTGTTTTCTTTTTTTCCCCCACGTGATCTCTCAGCCTCGTGTCGACCCTCAAGAAGTGGATCGACATTGACGTGTACGGGGGCTGCGGACACCTCAAGTGCGAGAGGTCCCAGCAGTCCGAGTGCCACAGAATGCTCAATCGAACCTACAAATTCTACTTGTCCTTCGAGAACTCTCTCTGCCAGGACTATGTCACGGAGAAGTTCTTCAATATCTTACGGTAAGCTTTTTTTGCTTACCGTAATAGAGAGAGAGAGGGAGAGGAAGGAATAGAGAGAGAGGAAGGAATAGAGAGAGAGAGAGGAAGGAATAGAGAGAGAGAGAGGAAGGAATAGAGAGAGAGAGAGAGAAAGGAAAGAGAGAGAGAGAGAGAGAGAGAGAGGAAAGGAATAGAGAGAGAGAGAGAGAGGAAGGAGAGAGAGAGAGAGAGAGAGAGAGGAGGAAAGAGAGAAGAGAGAGGAAGGAATAGAGAGAGAGAGGAAAGGAAAGAGAGAGAGAGGAAGGAAATAGAGAAGAGAGAGAAAGGAAGAATAGAGAGAGAGAGAAGGAATAGAGAAGGAGAAGGAAGGAGAGAGGAGAGAGAGATAGGAATAGAGAGAGAGAGAGGGAAGGGAATAGAGAGAGAGAGGAGGCAAGGAATAGAGAAAAAAGAGAGGTAGGAATAAAAGGAATAGGAGGAAGAGAGAGTAGAAGAGAGAGAGGGGAAGAGAATAGAAAGAGAGAGGGAAGAAGGAAGAGAGAGAGGTGAGAGAAGAAGAGAGAGTGGAGCACAGGACAGAGTAGAGAAGGGAGTAGGATGAGAGAGAGGGAAGGATAAGGAAGAGAGAGGGGAGAGGAGAAAGAGCAGGAGAGTGAGATTGGGGGCCGATAGCAGAGGGAAGGGAGAGAGG